AAATTTGCCTCGTGTTGCGACCAATTTGAGTTGCAACCAGAGTCATGGAACGGATTAAATTTGTAACTCGAGGTTCCACTGTAATAATAATAATAATAACAACAACAACAGCCCCTTTGTGCAAAGCCGGCAAAAGCAAGCCCCTTTGCAAGTGGTTTCTCCAGCGAATGATTCCTACACGTGGCTTCCTGAAGCAACCCCTGGCCCTTTCCCATTGGGGGAAACTGCTTCCTGCCTTCCCCATTGGGTGCTGCAATGGCTGTAACTTCGAGGACCGGTTGTAAGTCACTTTTTCAGCACTGTCATAATTTTGAATGGTCATTGAACAAATGGTTGTAAGTTGAGGATTACCTGTATCCCGAAGGCAGCAAAAAAGTGCCTGGGCTAATAGCTGATTACAAACTGAACATGAGTCAATTAAGGCTAATACAGTTTTAGCAAGTTCAAGCATTGTGTGCAGTCTTTGCTCCTCTACTTGAAGCAGGACTGGAATAGGCCAAGATAACAACGAAGGTACTCAGCCGTATGGAAAGCAAGTTCTTCAAGGAATGATTGAAAAAAATGGGTATATTCACTGGGGAAGAAAACTGAATGGAATGTGATAGCATTTTCCAAATATCTGAATAATTGTCACACAAAAAAGGCGGGTCATGCTACCTCTGAGAGAGATTATCACAGCAACTGCTAATTTGTTCCCCAAATTAAACTACAAACAGCTAAGATTTGGGTTATGGGAACTCTGATTTCTATCTGATTCCACCAACTGAGCCTTTTCAAATGTTGTTTCCGCTATCTGAAAGATGCTCTCTTTTAAGGGGAGCTCCTTACTTACTTCTTAATCTTTTGATTAAAGCTCTTTATTAGAAATTATTAATAATTATTTTATTGTTGGTGGTTTTACTGCTGGTGGTTATAAATGCTTCTAAAAAATTAATAAGAAGACAGTCTTATTCCCTCTTCTGCCCCAAATGGCAGGAACAGGTCTAACAAGCTTGTTACAAGAGAGTAGAGAAGTTATTGTTACATTTATAAGGAACTTTCGGTATTAGGCTTCATGTAATTTAAAAAGAAGAAGAAGAAAAGAAATCATAGGTTTACGATTTAAAGAAAAAGATTCAGGGTGGTGTTATATGATAAGAGACCCCAGAGGTAGCAGTTTTTAGAAACACTTTCAGCAACTCATCCAGCCTCATTCAGTCTGAACAAAAGCAGCTCTTCTCAATTTGCTGAGCGCGGTTTCTGTCTCAAACAAGACCAACTCAAATTCTTAAGTGAACATAAAATAATGTATCTCCATTCCCCAAGGAAATCTAATTACTAAACTAATCATCTGATTTGGGAGAACATCAGCCTAAGTAGGAGAAGGCCAAGAGAAACGAGCTCTACTCGAACATCCTGATATTTCAGACTCAACAACTGTACTTCATTATAGGATTGCACAACCTTCCAAATGTGACTTAGTCCCGGATTCCCAAACCTCTCAAGGCGTCTGTATCACCTCAAATCCTCCTCCGGTCTCATTCCCCTCTGACTGACGGTTATTCTTGCAGTTGTCTAAGTGCGCATAAACGCATCCTTCAGACCGCAGGATTAGGACAGAGCCTGGACGATACGCCATGTGTTCTTCCCTGGATCCGAGGGCGAGTGCCCGGGTGATTGCTCCAGCCCTGCTCCTCTGCCAGCTGCCTGACGCAGGGATGCACGGAGATAAGGCACCGGGAAAAGCTACACCATTTTTAGCCTAGGCCAGACGGCCAAGGCTAAAACCCAGATACCCTGGCGCCGGACACGTTGCATACCGTCATTTTTGGAGCCTGTGGATTGCGCTCAGGGACCAAAACCCGCAGTCACGTTTGGTCCTGCGCCCCATCTCCCCCCCCCCCCCGGCGGG